CCAATATTGTGGTACCCTCTTTCCAACAAAAAAAGAATGATCAATAGCGGTTCACAAATGCCGGAGCAATCACGTATCATACATACAAAAAAAATGCAGTCGAATTCAGAACCTCCTTCTTTTTTGAAGTTGGTTAAAAATATGATTCAAAGTGTATGGAATACATTTCTAATGTATTTCATACACTTGTATGAGGAGTGGATTAGTATTTCTTAAATGAATAAATAAAAGTAAAAATCATGTATTTCGAATGTCTATGATCCATATTCTTAGATTATAAAATTAGATAATCATTTTATAGAATTCAAACTAAAATAAAATTAACATCAAAAATTTCAATTCAAATTAAAATCTAAATCAAAATTAAGCAAATAAAATCTAAATCACAAAATAAAAAGCGTAAAATTGAAAATAAAATCAATTAAAAATAAAATAAAATAAATGAGTCATCCTGCGCGAGCATATCCGCGCAGGGGCCATCTAAGTCGGGACCTAACCCCAGATCAGCCATACGTACAGCACCCTCCCTATTTTCCAGATAAGTACTGGAGCTATAGGCACGCTCACTTCCCGTTGCGTAACGGTTGCCACCGCTGAGCCGTCGACTCTAAGCCGACTACCAAATCTCTTTGGTAGCGGAGCTGAAAGGCACTCACTTCCGGACGCCGATAAACGGCGTCTCTCCAGTTCCCAAATTCCTACGCGACTGGAGGGACTGGAGGATGTCTAGCTCATCCTCTACTAGCTCTTAGGGCTAGTGCCGGAGATGGTGGTTGCAGTGTCCTGCGACAAAGTCCGGACATAGCTAACAACCTAAAGGGCAACTCACGTGCCCGGCGCGTCTCAGCGCCATTAGGTTCTCACCTAGACCGCTACTAAGACGCGCTAGCTGCGCGCGGGACAGCGCCCCGGCGACATGCTACCGGGGCAGACGAATGTGTTCATCCCTGTAGCTAACCCCACTAACCCCGGTGATTCCATAACCAACTCCGGGTTCGCCAGAAACGCCCGTGATGGCGTATCACTGGCGGAGGGCTCGGCCCGGACGCCCGCTGTACCCTGGCCTTACCGGGGAGCCCGTGGTCTCCTATACCTATAACTATAACAATACCTTCTTAATCGACATTATACCCAAATGTACTACAACCTTATAATAATGTTATTATTATTATACTTTCTTTAGTATAAGGACTAATGTTTGGAAATAAATAATCCTAATCCTAACTTTTTTATAATACCTTGTGACGGGACCAAGGGGACCAAGTCGTGGGCTTGGCGATAAGCGACACGTCTGTTCATAACTGTTGCAGTGCCACTCAGAACTTTAAATCGCAAATCTGAGGGGCATTGCCACTGCGCCCGCCGCTCTGAAACATAAGTTGACAAGTCCCATGTGCTTGGAATTTCACCAGCACCCTTAACCTTCAAAACCGCAACGCAGTATTGCTCACATTACTGCTTTAATATTCATATATATGTATTGGTTTTATTATTTATTATGTACATATGTATTTATTTACTGATTTTCTATCTATCGATTACTAAATCTTCATACACTTCCGACTTTTTCTGCGAGTCATATAATTACTTCTATTCGAAGTTTGTCTGGCAGAAATCGCTTAAAGCGATAAGACTGCCATTGTACCACCGTTTATTAATTTGTTTTATTGTATTTGTTTCCATTTTTAGTGTACAATAACGAATTTTTGTATTGTATTGTATAAATTTCAAACCCAATAGGACAAAAGTAGTCACATTATTGCTTAGCGGCAGAAATAGGCAAGGTGGCAGTACTTCCCTGGACGTACTCTTTCACAAGGAGCTCTACTGTTAGTAAACTTTACACTTTACAATTTATATTAAGTTACTCGAAAATATAACGAGACTAATCTACTATTAGAAAGTTAAACAAACCATAGAATATTTATCACGGAAATAATAGCTTCGTTTCATTACACTTCCACAAAGAATAAATCATGCAATTACCGAATCCGAGTCGACCCAGCTGGGTTCAGAGGGAGCAGAATATCTTCTTACCCTGAAATTTTTATTAATGAGAATATCATAAGCAGCGGTGTGCAGAAAAATCTATAATAGATTTATGCGATTCCGTTTTGTGTATGTTGACTTAATATAAGCGATGTAATATGCTATAAATAAATAATATAAATAAATTTCATGAAAGATTGATAAATATAATAAATGTTTTCATTTTGTGTTACATGGTTATGATATACGTGTTCTATCGATTTATAACTTCGTTTTAACGCTATGACGTCTTCTAACCACTAGTTTCTTCTATGTTGGGTACGGAATGAAAATTTAAAGTAACAATCGAGCCCAAACACGAGTATTACGTGTTTTTATATTATTTTTGAACATAACATTTCTATACGACCATAGACATTAAAATGTAGATATGTCTGTGCATATGCTGCTGTGAAATAAAATTTGATATTGCTTGGGGAATATTTATAAGATCATGACTCGGAAAAATTGACTGAATTGGACTTATTATATAGTTGGTATTAACTAATTTTATTAATATCTCTCATGAAAATTAACGCACGCGAGTGTATCTTCGCCTGCTTAGTTTGGCTTTTAGGCATGTGTAAATGCGTAACTACATCTTTATAATATCTTTCAACATGTTTACGGTTCAACAAACTTTCTCCGTACGGTCTCAATGAGTGCACCAGATTGCTCTTCCTGAAAACATTGTACTTTCTTAGAATTGCCTAATAACACTCGTTCAACTTAATTCTCTTTGTTATTAGTCTATTTATGGATTCTATTGCCTAGATAGTAATAGGAGCATAGCGCATCGCATCTAATTTTAAAATTAGCACACTTTTTGCACATATTTCGCTACCCGTTGTATCTCGAGAGCTGCATTGTTACCGACCGTGCGAAAAAGAAGTTTCTTTCGGTCTTATCTGTTTTGATTTTTTGTTTGAGATGAGAAAATTACAGATTGTCAAATCTTCAAAGACCATCTACAAGTTTTAATGACTTGAATAGGTAATATTTTTGTTTTATTCAACGTTGTCACTGTTTCAAAATGAAATATAATTTATAAAAGTATGTGAAAAAGACGTTAGTCCCAGCAATATTTTGGGTTCGTATAATTTTTTTGTTCATTTTAGATGTAATCTTGTGGATAAATTAGATTAATTTCCAATCTTCCCACGGGCGCCATCTGTAGGTGTAACGTTGTACTGCTTGATGTAGGTGTAACAACAATGTATGCAATTGACACAAGAACATACATACAACCAAAGCTAACTGTGTCCGGCCCTGACTCAATAACAATATGCATTGCATTTCATACTTCCACATTAGATGGCGCTGCAATACACTGAACTTATCGTAAAAAAAATAGGTACATTATTTATGTACAGTGTGTGCCATTACTTTCTCACCATCATCATTTATCTATACAACGTGTAATTCGATTCGCCTGATAAAAATAATGGGCATAGAAAGAAACATCTATATGAAAATCGCGGACAAGGCTTCGGTTGATATGCAATAACGTATCAACCAACATGATCATCGTTTTGCGAAAGTGGCACCTAAAAATGATTTCGTTATTTTTGATACTTAGTTCTAAAATTTTCTTGTAAAATGAAAACTTTTGCTGTTGTCGCCTCAGGAATGACGAATTGTTGTGATTTATTATTATAATACCCTGATAATAACAAGAACAATTTACGTATACATTCAATACCTATACGCGGAAATTTAACTCAATTAAAGTTACTAAACTCTAAGCCCCATTGAAGTTATAGACTTTGAATCTTGTGTTCCTTTAAGGTATGACGTTCCGTGTCTACACAGGATACCGGTGCCGGCTTGAGCCGGTCTAACTCAAATATCATTCAGATGATCGAGAATTCGATGTAACTCTGTTAGCTAATTTCGAAAAGAAATTCAACTGAAATTGTAATATTTATGCATTTACGATAAGTATTGGCATTTAGGTACCTCATAAAATGTTTTGTGTGTGTGTTATTTGATGTGCCATATATATGTTTCCTTTATTTAACTATTGAAAGTTGAAAACTTTTTGGCATAATTGTCTATAAAGGAATGTCACGTGTTGAGGTGTCTTATGTTTTCTTAAACAACATCAGTAGCGTAACATCTTGTATTGAAACAAAACGTGGGAAAGTTCGATTGGCATTTGTTATTTAGTGCAGCCAGTAGCGCACGATGCATCAGAGGGTCGCGGACGACACACAGTGGCAGGATCGAGGGTGGCATCGCGCCTGCGCTTTGCTGCGGCCACGGTCGATCGTCACCAGCATATGCGACTAACACGTGGTTTGAGTGCATTCTATCGCTAAAGTCATGACAACAAAAGGTATCTTGGATACCACACGTTCTCATGTAAAACTTTCGTATCGATTTTTCAGTTCATTGGTTAAAGCACAGAATATTTCCTTGCACTTAAACGTACCGGGAATGTCCGTCCACGGTCCTGACTAACCATCCGCGCGTGTCTGTGAAGCAAAGCGGACAACTTTGGCCTTAAAAGTACTTCCGCCTGTTCCCTAGTTGTCTTGACTCGTGTCTTCGGGTCGGGCCGATGAACAGTCATGAAGCGTACTTCCTTCTATGTACTTAGACTATAGAGAAGGTATTGAGTAACACGCTCTTCGTTACGGTGCTCTCTACATCATTGATTTCCATGATAATTTACTATGATAAAACAAAATACCTGATTTTCACGTTATTTCGTCACTTTGTACAAGATTGAGTGTGCAATATAAAACAGTCCGTGTAAATTTAGGAAAAGTCTGAATTTATTTGTGAAAATAAGAGGCTTCGGATTTTAGGCTTGATCTTGACAGAGAATTTGCTTCAATGAAATTTCAACCCTCTAATATGGTGGTGTTGTGGTACTAATCCCAAGCACAGCCGGGCGAGTGGCGACGACGGTGGCGGTGGCGGCGTCACGTGCGGGGCGCCGTATGACTCCGCCCGCGCGTCTCGTCTGCACCGCAGAACTGTCAAACCGCCTCCGACGGGCACCCGGCTCGAACGCCTACCTCAATCGCTACAATTCATTATTGTATCGCAGTGCAGTGACTCAGTGTGTAATTCGTAAAACTCGCATGACGGAAAATAGATTAAGGAGATGAACGGCAGTACGACGACGGTGAATGGAGGCGCCGTCAATGGAACCAGTGGAACTCTCAACGGAATTGGTGCAGCTCCACGTACCGCCACTCTAGGAACTCCTAGTAGTTATGCGTACACTTCTACTGGGTCTTTGCTAGGTCGTGGCGGAGCTGCAAGGCCGGTGCCCCCGCCAACATTGCCAAAGTATAGCGGGTCATTCAGCGCTGGAAGCTCAACAGGTCTCAGAGAGCGCGACAGAGAGGGAACTGGCGGATCGCACCGCTTGGCTAGCCTAGAAAGATTGGCCCTCCGTCAGCGCATCATCGAACACAATGCTAACAATCAGGTGTCGAGCTTGTCGTCATTCTCCAGTATCACTTCAAACGGCGGAATCACCTCCGCGACCGTCACCCTTACCGATACGGCAACGGTGAGTCCCCCAATCGTAGATCTTGCACCCTCAAAAATTTCCCCTATACGTAGTTAGCGCACCCCGAAAAAGGGATTCCTATCGTTATTTTAGCGCAACAAACCCTCTTGTTACTCACGGGTAGTATGTTATGCCTCTGGCAGACTATTGAGTTAGTCATGTTTTATACACCAACTGAAACAATACAAGTGCTCTTGAAGATATTTTTTAAATCCTACTCAAGACTGGTGCAGTAGTAGAAGCCATTGGGTTGTTCGACGCAATATAATGCCTCATTGTTGTTGTTTATCTATAGGTTTATAAACAAATTTTGAATATCTGTTGTGTAATTTAAAATTGCTGTTATCATTACTATTTATTTTGAAACAGTTTGATACGGGTAAATATTTTAATATCGTCCAATGACATGGTTTGAACACGCGTAATGGTTGTCGACGACTTTGTTTACATTCAGTTCCGTCGATAGGTAACATAACTCGCGACAGGTGTTGTATTGCAGTCTTGGTATATCCTACGCTATCCAGTACCCACCGTATATAAGTAGAATTTCTCGCCAGTTTATTATGTTACTGGTTGGTTGAATGCATTGACTGCTTGTAAAATTTTATTATAAGCAGACTGGCGTCGCTTGCGTTTAAACCATCGTTACACATACAAATATACTAATTCAATCAAGTAATTCGCAGTCGTAAGCAAAATCTTTTCATAAAACACCGTACAGATAAGTTGTCGTTGTTCTTATTTTGCAGCCTTTCAAGGATGAGAGTCCTGCATCCCACCGTATTCCCACGCAGCTCCTCATATTATGATAGTACCTACTGGTTCGGGGAGTTGAAGGGTGCGCGGGTGACTGACCCCATGGCTTTACGGTTAAAAATAACTTCATGCAATGCTGGCCATTCTGCTCACATGTGTCGAATTTACTAAACAGACATTAACTGTTTCACGGACGCACTCTGACCTGGTAATTTTATTTGAATACTTCAATCTTAAGTCCCAACAATGACTCAGATCTCAAGAAGCAAAAATATTTTTATCACAAGAACTCTTATTTCAAGGTTAACCAGACCGATTACAATCTCATCTTCCTGATTCATAATTCAGCGTCACTCCAAGATTCCACAAGTTTGTGGATTTCGTTCATTAGTCATTTCCTTCTATTCTTCGGCAGTGGTCCATTTGTTCATGTACAATGTCAATTCCATGTTAATCTAAAAAGAGTCTTTGTAAAATGTAATTATGTATACGAACAACGTTACATTATTCATTAAAGATGTGGTCTTATTTGCACTTGTTACATTAAACAGGATATTAAGAGATGGAATGAACGAATCATTCAATCATCCGTCAGTGTCCGATTGTCCTCTTCAATATTTTCTTATCACTTTTGACAAAGGGGCATTTTCTTGGAATTCTTGTTATCTATTTGTGTTATCATCGAGAAAGCTGTTGGTTAACTCAGAATTGTCAGTCAATAAATTAAGTCACTAGATGTATCACATCGTACAATGGAAATGCATTGTGGTGTTATTAAATTATTCCAATACTAACAAAGGTTACAGTTCCAGCCACAAGTTTTTCACTAAACGGCAAAAGTGGTCGGGACACGTTCTCCTCTTGCATTGTTTCGCTCGTTTCACAAAAAACCAAACTGCCCTAAAGTGGCGGTGCGTTTTCAACCTTCATTCAATCGTTTTAAGTTTGAATTCGAAGGGATGTTATCGTTTAGTTTGTTTTCTTTAAAGCGATTGGTCCTTGCTTTGTGTGTCTGGTGGGCATAAGTGTGACGGGCTGGCTCGAAGCAAGGGATCCATTTGACTGTATACGTAGATATAGCCATAATTAACTCGTACCTGGGGCGACGCGCCTTAACGCACGGATTGAAATTTTGACAATCTTATTTCTTCTTCTTCTTGTATTAATATTTAGTATTAATTATTAACTTAGGATGGAAGGAGGACCTTAAATACGAATTTGTAAATATTGTATTGCGTATTTACATTAATTTTCATGAAGTTAATTACTTCAAGTAAAATTAAGTGTGATCTTAATTACCTATTATGAACCTACAAAGGTGTGCTAGTTGTTCATGTATTATTGAAATACGTACCTACTTCTAGAAATATAATTTACATGTTTTCTTTTTAATTTTGAATTGGTATTTCCAAAATTTTGGTTTTTCTGTTTCACATCTGGATTATGCCAATGGTCTTGCCAAAAGAAGTGATTTAAAAGCAAATGATATTGTAATTGCAAAAAAACATTGATATTGTAATGTCATGTTGAAATGTCGACACTCAAACTGTCTCAATTAAAAAATGGAAATCATTCGCCCCGTGTGTAGCGCGGCTATGCGCCCCGCCACAGGCCGCCAGCCGGCACCGGCAGCCGGTATCGCCAGTAACTTAACCTCAAACTGACACGGCTGCCAATGTGTTCTAACTCACTTCTTCACCGTTACTCAGAAGATATTCTCCCGTGCCTTAATTTGCAACTTGCGTGACTCCGATGACACATTAAACTTATCGTTACCTAACTCCTGTCTGATACCGATAAATCGATCTTTGAAAGTATAGAGTTACGTTTAATCCTTCACGCGGTGAAACTCGCAGGGTTAAACAAAAGTTAAAGACAGTTACAAAGGAACAGGGTTTATACGTGAACGGTAGTTTTATTAAGTGAATGTTATTAATTTAAAATGCTCAACAAGTAGTTTTTGTTATGTGTGCAAGGAACGCGATGTTAGGATTGTGAAGTGGTAACGCGTTTTTAACCGTACATCAGTGCATGTGTACAGAATGGCAAATCGTGCGTTGTCCAATTGTGTTGCACAGACCAAATTAACTAGATGTGTTAGTAATGTGGGTGATAATGCAGATGACAAAGGAAAAGTTGGATGGACAAGTCCTCGAGATATTTGGAGGAACTTATCTTTACGAAGGAAAGCCGAGGTGATTTATATTATGAACCAAATGTTAACATATAATATTTATAAACGTGACAGTTGCTGTGAAAGCAGCAAACAATTATTGATTTATACTTGCCGCTATAATGCATCAATTGAAGAATCGACTGGAATGTAATGTAATGTTTATGTAACAGAATTTACGCATACGTATAAAATTACGTTTTCTTACTCATAATATATAATCTTGTGCTTATTAAACATCGCGAGGATCTAAGTGTCTAGAGAGCGTCCCGTTACTCCGTGCAGAACAAATCGAAAGTGTCCATTTCCTAATCCTCTGTGGCCGGGTCGTTGACTCGCTCTATATTATGAAGTCACATACTCTGCACTCTGTGCCTTCGTCTCGCCTGTTGCATTATCTATGTCTCACGCGCCATTGCTCTATCGGCCCTATCGTATGACAATTATTGCATTAGATGGACCTCGCATGCGACGGTAGATCTTGCATAACAACAATTCACGACCATAATTATTCTATGTATTATTCCTCAACCGCTCTTTGTTCGACTCTAGCATAAAGGTCATTATCATTAATTTCACTATTTGTAAGACTTACTAATTAATGGTAACAGTTACACTTAGACGTTTAATTACTCACAAATATCATTTACATCCTAACAACAATAACAACTCTCGTGTTGGACGTTTCAACATTTGGCTATTTACAGCAACAAAAATTCGGGTGCATGTGTGAAACTTTATTAAGTCATGAAAGGTTTTAAATAGCTTCCGAACAGAAATACCGGGGCATCGACTTGTGAACGCCTTATTTAACTCTAATGTATCCAGATATTGGTATCTTGTCTGTTTATTACTATTTGTCGGAACATTTGGGGTAATGGAGGTGCCCTTGTAAGTTTACAAGTCAGAAACCTTGTTTTGAATGACAAGACTTAAGTCAGACGTAACGTAGAGTGTAATAGATACGTACGTTAGTCCTTACGAGAGCAATTGAGTACATTAGTCGTGATCTTATTTGCTCATTTACGCCGTAGATGCATGTCGTTAGTGTTAATTTGAGTGACAATTGATTTAACCCCAATTAAAAATTTTCATGACCGGTACACACACACAATTAATGACACCCAAATTGCTCTTCATATTTGCAATAACAATGAGTACATCTGCTTAAGTTTGAGTTATATTTTCGAGTTCCAATTTTCGTTCTCAGAATTTGTATTACTAATCTCATGATGAGCTTGGCGCTCGCATTCTTTAACCTACCCGGCCTGTCGCCGCATCACGCAGCTATATGAATAATGCAGCATTAGACCGTGAACACTGCACCCAACGTCATTAACACGACACCCGGTTTAGTTACTAAGCTACTAAATAGCATAATCTCATATAATTAACTATATTTTAAAATTAAAATGACTTGAAATACGCATATATATCGACATTTATGCGTTCATAAAGGCGGTGCATTCTTATTATGTCGATTTCTATCTTCGTGTTACTTCGCATACAAGTGGAGTGCTATGGATATAAAAAGCCGTATTTGTTTCTTGCGAAGTGTGTAATTTTGCTTCTGGGAGCGAGGCAACAGTCACGGATGTTCTACTTACTAGCATTATCAGCGTAGGTATTCATTCAGCTATTCAGCCAATAAACTTTATTGGAACTCCATGACTTTGCCCACGATGTCTCTATATTTATAATATTGGGAATAAGATTGATATTCTCATAAAAATCTATAATCTATACTTTATTCAGCCAAAAATCTGCTCACTAAGAGATAATCTAGATTTTATTGTAAGTGCTACTTACATAAAATCGACATGACATGTTTATCGAACGATTCATAGTGGCCTTCAGATAACTGTTCCCCTTAAGTATTATCCTATTTGGGTTATTTGTTCCCCATAATTCATGTTTATGTGTTTGTTTCCACATACGAACGCGAAAATACTCGCTTATCTCTAGGACTCGTTGTTTTGTCTGTACGTTTAGAGGATTACTTTATTGTGTGTGTATCTTAGTGTCTTCCTGTGACTTGTTGTTCAACTCGCTCTGTATGCCGCAGCTCCGG